AAAATGTAAATTCAAGTTATGGATGTAGAACTTTTAACACAAAAAAGATATTTAAATTCATCTATGTTAAGTTATTAAAAATTAATCTCTTGAGAATAATGAAAAGTTTGCATTAGAAATAAAAATAAAAATGATGAAACAAAATTTTGTGGGATCAAAACAAAATATCAGAAAGAAAAAGGTAACTGTAATGATAAGAAAAGTCTACTACTAGTTTGAAATGTATGATTTATTTCTATTTAGAAATATTATTAATATTTCTATATTATTTTAATTTATTCTATTTATATTTATTTATAAATCTCAAAAATTATTCATATTGAGAAAGGAATAATTTGATGGAATAGGTGAGTGAATGTATACAATTGAGAATAGACCTAACAAATTTTCTGATAATTTATAAATGAAATTCTTTAAAATTTATAAGCAAGAAACAAGAAAATTATCATAAAAAAAAAATTTTTTTGCACATGCACATTGGCACCACGCATGTATTATTCAAGTTCTCTGTATTTAGTTCCATTTTTAGTTTTATTCCAAAGCTGTTTTGCCGTTAGAGTAGTTCGAAATCATTATTCAATAAAAGGATATTAACCAATTTCATCTGCCTGAAGACGACGAAAATAGTTTTGTCGAAAGCACTAGCTGTTTATAGCGATACTTGTATGTTGTTTAACGCCTGGATGATAATTTTCTCGTTTCTTGCTTATCTATTGATCAGCGTGAGGTCCAATTTCTTTCACTTTAAAATTTATACACATTTACTTTCTTTAATATAGAAAATTTGGAAATAAAAAAATTTAATTACTATCGTTAATTTTCCTAAATGGAAATACACTATTCAAATTAAGTATCCAAAATTAAGTTAGCAAACACAATTAACAAAATACAAGGGACAGTCAAAAAGTTCCCGGAATTGTGATCCTGCACTGTAGTGGCTTGAGATATGGTAATGCAAACCTAATCACCTTCAAAGTAGCCCCTCCCACGCAAACACGCTTGTTCCATCAATTTTGCCACTGTTGAAAGCAGGCATGTCATGCTTCCTTTGGAATCTTCCGGAATTAGGCCATCGTATTTGATATGATGTCCCTCCCTGCTTGCAAAACGCGTCCCTTTGAGGTCCATTTTGAAAGTAGGGAACAGCCAAAAGTCACTGAAAGCAAGATCTGGAGAGTAAGGTGACTGGATGATGACAGTAATGCTTTTGTCAGTGAGGAATTGCTTCACAATAAGCAATGTGTGAATCAGTGCACTGTCATGATGCACTGTCCACACCACTTGGGCCACTTCCTCGTAAACTTGCTGCAGAGATGACAGCATCTCTGCAGCAGTTTTCCCCAATTTGCACATAACCTTGATGTTTGCACGCCGTGTGAACTAGGATATTGTGCCGAATGATAAGCAGTCACACTCAACAAAAACACTATAGTAACAACTGTGCAAGTCTAAAGTTGCATGAGTATTATCACACTGCAAATAGACATGCTGATCTTTCTGCCACAGAAATGCATAACCTTATCTTATATTGCATTTTCTAACTGTAGATAAATTCTGGAAACTTTTCAACTGCTCCTTGTAAATCAAAACAGCTACCAACAACAATTTAAAAGTAAGGAGCAATTATTTATTGTGACATCATCACAATGCCAGGCTGCAATTTTTAATAATTTTTTTAAATTTAAAATATATGCTCTCCACCTCAAATTACTAGTGGCTTAACCCAGTACATACTTTTCCTGTTAGCAGTAGAGTCATATAGAGCTGATCATCTATCTAATTCCTTTCAGGGGAAAATTTTTGAATTGAAATAACATGGCTTCTGAAGAAGTTCGTATATAGTTAATCAGGGCATCCTGCCAAAGGTTTCCATATCTGGTCTCATCTTTCATCTAACTAACTCCATTCTTGAGATTAAGAAAACACAGACAAATGAATGGACAAACATACAGATGACAGTGGAAATTTATAGGTCTACAATTTTTTCAAATTTCATCCCAATTATTAGATTGGCACAAAAATAATTACAGTTTCCATTATTTTAAAGTTTGACACTATTATTTTATTTTAGCTAAAATTTTATTTAATTATATTAATGTAATATATCATTTTAAAGCACAAACTGCCCTCTTCTGATTTATGCTAATCGTTTTGTTTTCATGTTTATTCTTGTTGTTATCAAAACCATGTTGTTGTTTATGATGTATTGTATACTGGCATGATGAAGTGACCGTTTAACCAACACTTGGAAAACTTGCCAAGGGTTGGTTAAACGGTTACTTCATCGTGCCAGTATACAATGTTTATTCTTGTTTATTTATATTGTCAAATTAAAAAATGGAAAAAAAAAGCAAATTTAAGCACTTTTATTGTATGAATTCAAAATAGAATATAAAGCAGTGGAAACTGCAAGCAACATCAACCAAATGTTTAGCCAGGGAACAATCAACATTTGTTCCAAAAATTTTGTAATGAAGACAAGATGCCTGAAGATGAGGAAGGTTGTGGACATCCTTCTGCGATTGATGACAACCATTTGAGAGCCATTATTGAAGCTGGTCTCCAGAAAATAACTCAAGAGGTTGCAGAAGAACTTAATATTAACCGATAAACAGTAGTTCAACATTTGCACCAAATAGGAAAATCAAAAAAGCTTGACAGATGTGTGCCACATGAGCTGAATGAATATCAAAAACTTCACTGTTATGAAATCTGCTCTATGTTTCTTTTGCACAACAAAAACAATCCTTCTCTCAATCACATTGTGATGTGTGACAAGAAGTGGATTCTGTATTATCAATGGTGTTCTGCACAGTGGCTGGAATACAATGAACCACCAAAGCTGCACCAAAAGATTATCATCAGTTTGGTGGTTGACAAGTGAAATTATCTATTACAACTTCTTGAATCCTGATGAAATTATCACAGCAGGGAAGTATTGTTAGGAAATCAACAACATGCACCAAAAACTGAAACATTTATGTCTGCCATTAATCAATTGAAAATGACCAATTCTTCATGACAATGCCTAACCACATGTCTCACAAATGACTACAGAAATTGAATGAACTGGGCTGAAACTCTATCTTATCCAGCTTATTCACCTGATCTCTCTCAACCAATTATCACTTTTTCGAGAACCTTGACAACTGTCTCAAGAGAAGGTTTTCAACAACCAAGCAATAGCCCAAAATGCCTTTAAAGAATTTATTGGTTCCAGGTCTTCCGAATTCTATGCTACTGAAATAAATAGACTTGTTTCTTGTTGGCAAAAATGCATAGATTCTAATGGTTCTTATTTTGATTAATAAACTTTATTCTAAGCTGATATATACTGTTTTGAAGTTAATGGTGAAAAACACAATTTTTTTGCACTAACTTGATGAATTAACATATCAATTGGAAGTGATAGCTGAAAAAACATGAAAATTATGAAGCAAAGGAAAAGAAGAAATGTCTTTTTTAAAGAAAAGAACATTTTCTTTACTGAAGATAACATTGATAAAATGTTGAAAGTGCTTGTATAATAAAAATGTTATAATAAAAATTGTTTAATGCTGATAGACAGTGGTTATCTTGTTCTTTAATTAGATAATAATTTGGAATGGTGAAGCTAATCATTTGTTTATAATATAAGAAGTCATTATACAAACAACAAAAGAAACCAAATAATTGCAAAGCATGTGTAAAAAAGATCAACGAGTGACTATATGACATTAATACTGGTAAAAAATAGAATAAAATAAAAATAAAATGTATCCCAGGACAATAATAGATTTATACATAAAGAATCAAAATTAGCAGCATATCCAACATAGCAATTGTACATACATGTAAATATATATAAAATAACAAGTATGTTTCACTGGATAATATCAAGGAAGGATATAAACAGTGAGCTGAAACAGAAACTAGAAATCAAGTTTAACAAGTAGACAATTAAATAAACACAATGAGTAATAACAAACATAAACAGCAATTTAATACATATCATTAGACAAAAACTAAATAGGGCTATGGTGAACCATAAATAAATCAGCACAAAGAGTGAGAATAATGAGCTGCACAACAATTCCAGGCAATGAATGAGGTCTTGTGTCATTCAATATCTGGGGAAGTGATCTGCCCATAGTACAGATTAACAAGTCTCTGAAATCTGAAGAAAAGCTCTAGGATCCATGGAATATCACCATCGCATGTTCAGTTGAGAGACTGCTGGTGCAGTGATGCTCAGTTCATTATGAATATCATCCAACATAGGACAATAGGGTAGTGTATGCTGCCATCTTCAATGTACAGTTTGCAAACTGAATGTTCATGTGTTAATATCTGGATAATGTGTGGGGCATGCTATCTAACCCTTTATCATGGAAAATTATTGCTATGGTAAAGTAAACCCTCCCAGGACCTGCCATGAGCTAAAAATATACTCTTGTGGAGAAGTGGAGTTTATTGCCCGAAAGCTTTCTCCTGACTTTGTAAGCAGTATGATGCTCACTATAGATGCTGTAAGACTGTCAGGGATAGTCATACTCTCTACTAATCTCCTCTTTCTTGATGTTCTACAACTTTGTTTTGGGTATTCTTGGTGAAATGTACATATCTCCAGAAGTTAATTTTTTTGTTTTCATTTTGTACAACTAATTGATTCCTCATGGCAGGCAATATTTTTGTACCAAATTTTGTCCTGATTCAGTAAGTACTTTTTCAGATATCCTACAATTTGCATTTATTACTTTAATTTTGAACATCAGTATATATTCTATTAATTAAAAAAATAATAATTATAAATAGTGGGAGTAGTAGTTTCATCCACTACCATATGTAACTGTGGGTTTTTGTGAATATATGCATGGCAGTGTTAGAACCAATGAGAGACTACTTAACAAATAATTATAAATTACTTAATATTGAAAACTTGTAGCTTTCACAAATTGATACCTCAAACCTTTATAGCATTTGTAAATTTAATAAAAGCTTAAAAATTTAAAGAAATTTACATCTTTATCTGCTTGAACCATCTCCTCTTTCTGATCATCAATTTCATCAGTCATAAATTCTTCACTTTTTTTTATCTCTTCATTTTTTTCAAGTTTTTTCTTTCGTTCTTTTTCCAAACGTCTTGCTAACCGCCTACTATAATTTGATTTCTTCACTTTAAATACTTCTCCATCTATATAAAACATAAAATTATAAATTAAATTTAACTTTTAAATAATATGATATCAAAGCATATTTTACTTAATAGCTTAAAATAATGTAACAGTAACAGTTACTGTAATTTCATATGAACAACTTGCAGCAGTGTTTAATCTGAATCAGCATACACTACACATGTCTAGAAAAGCCATAGAAATCAAGATACTTACTGATATGCAGTTTAGAAAATAGCTTCTCAAACATTAAAATTATTTTTTCTGTTTCACCTCCATTAGAAGCTATAGCTCTTTTCATTATATATATATATATATACATATATATATACAAAATGAAATTTGTATTCAGACTTGGTTGCTATATATATACAGTGGAACCTCTATATTCGTAATATTCGATATTCATCACATTTTGATGACTTTTCCCCATACCTGTCAGTATTTTCTGTACTCATAGTCAGTCCCAATACCGGCAGTGATGCTACAATAGCACACCTGCACTGATCAGCTAGCCACAATAGCTTTATGTTGCTAATTTAGCTAATTTTTTGCTAGATTTAGTGGATTTATGAACAATCTAGCTATACAAATTACCTAAATTATAATGGCCTAGCTATTTTTATAATGCTATCTAGCTATAAAAAATCAAACAATTTTAATGGAAACAAAATGATTTAAATATTTTTTATTAAAATGTTTAGCTATAACTTTGAATTTTGAGTTGACAACACTATGTCAGCTAGCTGTATTAGTCTACTTTGTGTGGTCGTTATGTGTGTTCTTGGTTTCTTGTGTTGATTACAGTGAAACCTCTATATTCATCATTAATTTGTTCCTAAGGATCTAATGAATATGGAAAATGATGAATATAGAAACAATTTTTCTCATTTCTGATATTCAATTAATTCATTCCCATCCTAAAAAAAGATACAAGAATAAAAATTTTGTTGTTTGTAAAACTTTATCTTTATTGTACTAAATAAATACAGTATAGTAGTAGAAGGGGAAGAAGAGTAAGGTTATTATTGTTTAGAAGAAGACATACCATCAATTAAAACATAGATAATTCCAATTATGATCTCTGCATATTAAAATTCTTTGGCTAAGCTGGAAACAGTAGAAAGGTTGCGGTCAAAGTTTTTTATCTCTAAAACGTGAATGTCGAATGTTGAGCGCTGCCATCTTGTAAGCCTAGAAGTTTGATAATGGCATATGGAACGTCATTGGAATAATGCTCGACATTCCAAATGCCATTGTCAAACAAATAGTTTCAGCATCCTTCACATTTATGACCTTGGAGAATTTAGTAGACTTATAAATCTCCTAAGCCACCAACCTTTTTAAATCAGAAATAGTATGAGTAGGACATATTAATAGAACTCCTCATAAATCAACTTATACATCCAGAATTACAGACAGCTAAAGTTGTTATCAGTTTGTCTTTTTTTTTTAATAATTCATATTGTTTAATTCTTGCTTGAAGTAATCTTAAGGAAAGCACCAATATACTCTACATCCAAACCAAATTGATGATCTTTAAAGAATACTGTATACTCCAAGAATTTTAGAATGGTCTTCATCTTTTGTCATTCTAAGTATCTTGTATATATCAGGATTTCTCCTGTAGCATAGCTTTGTATTAGGAACTAAAGCAATCCTTTTATGTATTGCTCTTGTTGCTTATTGTAATTAACTACATTGATTCAGTCCATTTGCCTAGTGTGTTGATGTGAAGGCTTTTGTAGTATGGCTATCCACCATGTTTGTTTTGTATAATTGTATATAGAATAGGAACTCCTTTCTTCTTTCCTGTAATTCTTCTTCCTTCTGTCTTTAACCCTTTCCTGTCATATGACAAGAGCTTTACTGTTCGTAGGTCCTGATTGGGCCAGTGTACAAAAAGAAAGGAAGGGCTCCTGCCCAAAGAGGACCTAGGTAAACCAGGAGTAAACAAGAGTCATTTTTGGGTTCAACAAGATAGGTCAGGTGAGAGAGACCGAGAGACAAGCTACGAGGAATCAGGCCTAGGAAGATAGGAGAGAGAGGGTCAGTATAGGTTGGTTGGTTCGTTAGAGTTTATTGGCGCAAGGGCCATACAGGCCAAGCTGCGCCATGGCAAATGGTATATATAAATAAATATATAAATATANAATTTAAACCTTAAAATAATCTCGATCTTTGACCTAGACCATAAGTTCAAAGGCATATCTGGTTGTGAAATTTCCTGCTCTTTCCATTTCCGGGATCAAAAATGTGTGTTCCCATTGAAAAAAACAGACTTGACCCTCAAATGACCTTTAAGATCAAGGCCAAAGTCACATACAAGGTCCCCAATTGATTGGCCCTTCGAAACCCTACAACTTTTCCCTACACCTTTTTCCCAAAATAATGAAATCCAGTTAAGTTATTTCATTGTCTCAAAATAAAAAATACACCCTATATATAATATACATATATACACATAAAAAAATATTATATTTTTTTAAATAAATATATATTGACAATATTTTAAAAATATATATTGTTTTTATTTTAAAAATTTTAGTCTAAGTGGCATATGTGCCAACTGTTACTTGGGCATTTGTATAAATTTAACAGATGACAATAGATTATTCTGTAAAAATAATCAAGTGAAGAATACATTCTCTAACAAGCAGAGGGGAAAATATGTCTTATCGAGCAGTTTATTTTGGTTTGACTACAATAGTTTTTTGAAACACATGCTAATATTATTTTAGAATACATCAGACTAAAAGAATTACCAGTCTTACTAGTCATAAGCTGGTTACCTTTGCTATTTTTCATAAAGGTTAAAGAAAACAATCATTACAAACTACAGACCAGTTATTCTTCATTTGATCTAATAAATAATCATTAAGTAGTCATTTTTCCAATTAATTTAAAATTTTTAAAACATTGGAAAAGCAGTATTTGAATCAATTTGAATGTTAAATCAGCTGGTGAATAAACAATATATAGAGCTGATGACTATTTAAGAAACAAGTAGATTGTAAAATATATACAGTGTAATCTTCAGTCTATGACTTTGATCAAAAGCTGTGCAGTTGCAAAGCATGTGTTTTACACTTAAAAAGCAGTTGCAATACTCGCATACTGGCTGGTCTTCACCCTTCAAAAGGTATTGATGAGTCAACCGAGTATGACCAATTCTCAAACGACTAAGAATTACTTCAGATCTCCTGTCATACTGTTTATTGTGTGTCCAATTTTCTATATTTGGCTTGATCTCATGTAGTTTATTGTGGACTTGTGCATTCCACACGTTTTGCCATCTCTCTGCTAGTTGTTTTTTAACTACTAGCTTCAAATCGACTCCTTCAATATGCATTATATGCTGTAAAGGAGTAGCTAGCTGACTTTGCAGCCGCGTCAGCTTCTTCATTCCCTTTTATACCTACATGGCCTGGGACCCAACAAAATTTTACAAAGAAATTACTCGCAGTAAGATGGCAAAACAATTTGTAAATTTTAATNATTTTCTATATTTGGCTTGATCTCATGTAGTTTATTGTGGACTTGTGCATTCCACACGTTTTGCCATTTCTCTGCTAGTCATTTTTTAACTACTAGCTGCAAATCGCCTCCTTCACTATGCATTGTATGCTGTAAAGGTGTAGCTGACTTTGCAGCAGCGTCGGCTTCTTCATTTCCTTTTATACCTACATGGCCTGGGACCCAACAACATTTTACAAAGAAATTACTCGCAGTAAGATGGCAAAACAGTTTACGAATTCTAATCACTATAGAGTGAAAACTAGGTTCACATGAGATCAAAGCTTGAAGTGCACTAACTGAGTCAGTGTAAATAACACAGCAACGATGACCTTTCCTATTTATATACTTTAAAGCTAGATAAATAGCATACAACTCTGCAGAAAAGATGGAAGAATTCAATGCAATTTGTTCTGCCACGATTTCATCCTGGCAGACAAAGGCTGANGGATAAGATACTATAATATAGAGGTAATGAACTTATGCAGTTGTTTTTCCAACAAAATTCTAGGCAAAGTTATATAGGCTTGGTGTAACCAGGGAGAGTACAACCAATTGAATAAGATATATGCTAAAGGAGAGACAGTATAAAACACTTATAGTATTATTGCCACCAATACCTTTAGGTATAATAATACTATTTTTATTTGACTTTGAACTCACATTTGAGTTATAAATAAACACTTGGCTTTATTTCCATCATTTTTAGTTGATGGATGGATGGATGGACAACATAGAAAAATTTCAATTATAGAAACGGTGACATCCATCCATCTTAGAGCGGACAAGGGCCATATAAATCCTAAGCATAGAAACTTTGTCTGCTCCCCAGGATGAGCAGCATAGTACCTTTAAAAGGTTTAGAGATTTTAAACATCTACTCTTCAGGTTGCGCAAGTGTGGCAGAAATGTCAGTTTTGGGTCGAAATAAACACCCAAAAACTTAGCCTCATTCACCATTGGAATTTTATCCCCATTTAGGTGAATTTCAGGATCCAGGTGAATTCCACGCCTTCGGCAGAAGTGGATACACGATGTCTTCGCTGCATTAAACGTAAACCCATTGGTCTTGGACCAATCATATATGCGATTTAGGGAAGTTTGAAGTTGTCTCTCAATGAAACTCATATTACTAGACTGACAGGAGATCTGAAAGTCATCTACATACAAAGAGTGTTTCACACTGGGAGGGAGACAGTTAGCTATGCTGTTAATTTTAATTAGGAACAGAGTCACACTCAAAATAGAACCTTGAGGAACACCTTCTTCTTGTGTGAAGAGCCTAGATAAAGTGTTGCCCATCCTAACTTGGAATCTTCGATTCTGTAGGAAGTTTTTTATAAAAATTGGCAAATTACCCCGCAATCCAAATTGGTGTAGATCACGAAGTATCCCGTATCGCCAACAGCGATCATAGGCCTTCTCTATGTCAAAAAACACAGACACTAAGTGCTGTCTTCGAACAAACGCTTCGCGTATAGATGTTTCAAGGTTTACCAGGTTA